CCTGCTGTTTTTCACTTGCACCCTTTATGATGGCTGCACACTGACACCTACTGCTTGGAGCAGAGACAGCCCCAAAGGGGATTCATACACGCCACCAGATTTATCTCAGTGAATTTGGATGGCTGTGTCTGTAAAGGTTCCTCTGCAGAGAAGGGAAATACTCCTCTGGGGGCCTCAGACCCGCACTGCGGGACGCTGCAAGCAGGGGCACCCAGCAGCCTGGTGTTTATTTTCAGCCACTGCTGATGTGATGCAGGACATTAATGTGCATCGCACAACGTAATCATGATTTGTAGAAGGGCCTAGCACTCCTGTGGGCCTTAGGACCTCTTATGGCACGTCCCACCAAGGAGGAAGCATCCAGTGGGAAGGCAGCCAAGCAAATTTCTGAGCAGGCGTGGAATCTAGAACAAGATTTTTCAGTTTCTTCAGAAAATTGACCTGAGAACAGACAGAGTAAAACATCTTACCCAATATACTACAGGCTAAGAATACTTCACTTGCGTTATATAAAAAGAGTTGTCTCAAATAAAAACTGTTAAAAGGAGAAACAGTCAGCTGTACTGAATACTGCCAACAGGATATTAGTACTTCAAGAGAAAAGAAGTACTAAAACAAGCGAAACTGCCCAACATCTTGCCCTGCACTCACGGGTATCTAACGCAATTTTTGGCATTGCTTGTGATGTCAGCTCTCATCCCAATTTCAGTTTAATGCTCTGCATGTTAAAAAGGAAGCTCCACACTACAAAGCTTTTGTTTTTTTCCCCTGTAATAATCACTCTGGCTTATCTCAGGATGTACTCATCAGGGAACTCCTCTGAAACCATCTACGTGACTATCGTCAAATCTAAAGCGTATACGCCAGCACGAAGCACGTCTGTAGATTCCCTGTCTTCTAAAAACTCGTTGCACGCATTGAGTAGAAGCGTGCTTACAGGGAATTGCCGTTGCCAGATGCTGCTTCATTACCTGAAACTGCACACTGTTTCTTAGCACTGATTACTCGGTACAGCAGGCATTTACTGTCTTATTACAGAATTATACAAGGACCAGCGCTACACATTTTTTAACAATCAACTACCTTTACCACAAAGTTTTGTTACAAAAGGTTTCGGAACATAAATACCCTTCAGGCATGACTCCTTGAAACAATCAATCACCCAGCAAGGCTTTCCTCTTCTTTTAACAGTGGCAGAAATCTCCTTGCCTGGTACTGAGCACAGCTGAGTCAACAAATTGTCTTACCAAGGAGTACAGAGAGGGAGAGGACAACCCTGGTCAGCAGCAGGTGAATGGATTCAAACCCCAGATCTCACAAACTGGTCAAGCTTACGTCATCCTTGCAATGCCCAACAAAAGAGGGCTCCAGCTACGAAATTTCTAATTTTCTGCCCAAATTTATTCATAGCCTGTTCGTATACATTTTCTCTTGCATCAGTATTGTTACTTAACATAAACGATCCTTCCCCTCTGTTTAAAACCCAGAGGGAATATGTGTACTCTGGTTCACTTCTTATGGTAAATAAGCCTTCCCTGCTCTTTTCTCTATCTTATAACAGGGTCTGCCCACTTCTTTAATTATCTTCACAAATCTAATACCATTGGAACATGAGTTACTGAAACTGTACGAGGCCTCATCTGACTCTTGTACAAGGGCATCCATGCTTCCTCTACGTATACTGAAAATACTTCACTTTATATATCCATTGTCATGTGATTACTTCAATGTGCATATTTTCGTCCCATGCCTCCCTCCACAAACAAGTATGCCCAGGTCCTTTTCTTCCCTGGCATTTCCAAATGTGAGGAACTCCTCTTTCATGTAATGGATTTTCATTATTAGTCCTCAGATGTATGACTTTATTACCTATGTTATTATTTTTCATCCTATATCTTGTATTTCATGCTTATCTTCATATATATCTATATCTATCTCAATCATCCTCTATCATATCTCATGGTCATATATTTTCTCCCAGAGGACACCCCCATCCCATTCACCCCTCCTAAATTTCTGCTATAAACCCAATTCATGAGCATGATTCTATTTTATTATGCCAGTGGCTATTAAAGAAAAGAAGTCCATGACACTTAAGGAGCTCCACTAGTAATCTCCCTCCTCTCCTGCCAGCAATACCTATGGGTCTCACCCCCTCCCTACCCATCTTTAAGCTCTAGTACTAATGCCCATTTTCTCCATACAGATGGCATGATATAAAGCATTTTGCTGACATCAGACAGATTAGGTATACTCCTTTTCTTTCTCCCTCTGCAAAGTCTCATAAAAAAATAATTTGGTTGTACTGCTATCACCTCTCTTGACAAACCTATGTCACGTTTTGCCTCATTTACCACTTACTCTCGTACCATTAATGATTGTTATTTCCTTACAGAGCAGCAGTGGTGATTAATTCTATACTTGGTCATAACTTTCCCAATGTCTAAAGAAAAAAAGCCCAAACAAATCCACAACCCTAAATCAGTGCCATTTTAAGAAATAGTGTATTGGTGGTACTCTGACAGTTCTGAGTTAAAGTTAAGACCTCGAGCATTTGCCTTGTTGTTAAAAATAACATCCAGGCAAACATTTCCATTGCTAGCTGACATGGTACAGCACTGAAGAATCAAGTCTCTGGTTTGATCCTACCAAAACTGGTTTACAGAGGGACACAATGCTCCTTCAGTCTGGCAAAAGCCAAGTATTATGCAGTGTTTGGAAACTAAAGAGCTCTTGTTCCCATTTAATTAACTTGTTGCATAATTATCTATATGGAACTACTCCATAAACGCAGCAGCGACCGCTCTGTACGTACACATTGATGATTCACTTGAAGGATTACTTGAAGAGTATTTCAAACTACGTAAGCGTGGCTGGTAGCAATACAAATAGATTTGACCATCAGACGGCTAAAGGAGACGGTCTCCCCTTCCTTTTCCCTGGTGTGAAACGCAATTCCTACATATGTCATGCACAGCTCTGCGGCAACAATTAGAACATTCAAAGTCGCACAGAAAAAACCGGCCACCCACTCAAGTCCTCCGTTGTTGAAGCACTGTGAATTGCCCAGCCAGCACCAGCTCTCCTGCCAAATGAACGGCACTTGGCAATGACCTCAGGAGTACACATTTTTGATGTGTGATAAATAGTGGCAAGACTTACAAGCTGTTAGCTTTATTTACAAGTAATTGTGTCTCAGCAATGTTACAAAAGATGCAAGCTCGGTATGAAGCCTTGTGTTGCAAGGTGTGTTGCTCCCTCTCTGCTCCTACTAGCCATTTCTTCACTTTCCAACTACGTGTTTATTCCTGACTGTTCCCTTCCTTTTTGCAAGATATATTCCCACGGAAAGCCACCCCTTCATTCCAATGGACACACTCATTCTTTGTTCCCCATCCTCATATGCCCACATCTCTATTTAAAATTTCCAAACCTGCTTCCTCCCTCTCAGAAGTGTCCTGCTTTGATACCAGTTTCCTCAGGTCCACTCCTTGCTCCTAATCTCAGCGGCAATCCTGACAAGGTCAGCTGAAGAGAATCTCCTTCCTGGATCACCTTTCCATGATCCAAGAAAGGGCTTGGAAGGAGAGTTTTAAGCAGTAAGACAGATGGAAATGTAATGAAAGCCTACAATCATTTGAAGGTCACATCTAGCCGAGAGAGAAAGAGGGGGACTATTTTCAATGGAAAGACAGGATGAGGATTTAAACTGGGGAAAACTTGTGACAGGGGAATGTATGCAGCTACAAAATAATCTCCCAAAGGGAAAGGCAGAACCTCCTCGGACAGTCTGGAGCTTTTGAAGCACAGACTAGGCAACATCTGCACAAATACACTGCAGGGAACGATGGTGAATCAACAGCAAGGCTGACAAGGCCATGCAACCAGGCTAGACCAAGAACAGTTCACTGACACACATTTCTGCACAGTTTTAATGAAAGTGTCCATATTAAGAGTACACGTGAAACGCACACTTCCTGTAGTTTACGTTAGAAAAATTCTCTAAGAAAAAACTCAAGCTACAAAGATAAATAGGAATATATGCAAGAGAATTAACAAATTTAAGAGAACACTGTAAGAATTTCAAATATCGCTGCTCTCACAAAAAGCACCACAGGGATTTCTTTTTATTTGTTTAAATTCCGCAGAGATCAAAGAACCCAATTATAATATCTGGCCCTTCCTCCTCTGCAGCCCTTCACTGTTAATTGCCCTAGCTCCTGTTCTTCCACCAAGTATAAATGAAAGCACTGGAATTGAGCCTGCTACTGAAGCAAGCAGAGCAAACTTTCACTGATGTCAACAGAATTAGGCCACTTTTACAAGCAGTGACTTTGCCCTCCAGTTGGCAAAACAAGAAATGCAATTTGCTCAAACGCAGCGCGAGCGCCATTCCCTCCAGGCAGGCACGCTGGGGACCCAGGCACTCTCCTGCTTTTCTGGGCTGCAGCAGAGGAGCAGTTGCTGTATGGGCTGCTGACTCACCATCTGGTTCCTGGTTTCTTTCTGAGCAGCACATGCTGCCAGTTCCTCTAAGCTCGTGGCAAAAATCTCTCCTGTGCCCACAGATTATAAGCTACTCATGACGGGCATCTAAGCTACATGATGAACTGAAGAAAAGAGGAAACGAACGTCCATCTTCTAATTAAGAATTTACAAGACTGGCATTAAAGCCTGAGCCTCGTCTCTAAATAAAAAAAAAAAAATTGCAACAGAGTTTGTATCTCCAAAGACTCATTCATCCCACTAGCTGAGCAATAATTACAAACTTAACATTAATCTTCAGTTTGATGACAGTGTGTTCAGCATTTCTGGCATCACTCCCCACATTTAATTCCAATAACGAGTCAATCCCGCACAGAAAAATAAATTAAAGCAATTGAGTAAATACCTCACGTAGAAGGGTGACATAGGCCGCTCGTCTTCTTGGGAGCTAAAAACAAAACATATTTTTTAAAGTTAATATGCAGCTCTGTCTTGTATTTGCAGTTCAAAATACTCATTCTTAAAAGGCAGAGATAACAAAAGTGAAACAGTTCACCACCTGTTACAGAGGTAACACTTATGTCTACTTTGTGTTCTGGTTGTACTCATGGAAGAAAGGTTTAAGTTACATTCCTTAAATCCTGAGAATCCAACTCATTTCTCAGTGTCCACAAACGTGGTGTAACAGATCTCCTGCTAGACAGCCGGGAGTCACTCTGGCTCTGCGGCCGTGCAAAGACTATTCCCATAGCAACAATAAAGCATTTTGCCAGCAAAACCACCAGAGCCTTTTGCCGTCTGCTGTTCCAGAATTAAACAACCTGCCTATTAAAGCAAAATTTGAGAAAAAAACAAATGACATCTCGAGAGACCAAAGAAACGGCCATGGGTGTATGCATGAGGCTACGAATTCCCCAGTTTTATCGCTCCTGTGGAAAGCTGATTTGGCTATGCTGAAATCTCCCCAGGCTTGAGATCAGGGGCTGCCATCGGCTGGCGTGGAGCTCCCCTGATGAAATGGTGTTTCAGTGGTCAACTGACCCGGCCCAGACGTAACTACCTGGTGTGTGGCTGACCAGTTCCCTGATCCAGCTCATGGTGCCTGTGCTGGCACAAGGGTAAGAATGAGCTGCTGGGGCGCTGAAGCTAAAAGGTGTGGTGGACTGATGGTTTAAGTCAGTCTAAGAACACGCCGCTATAAGAAGGGGTTCAAACAAATTTCACCTAGTCATTCCAACCAGATAAATGGTCAGCCTTGCAGGGCGTTTAAGCCTTGTAACTCTCTAGAGCAGGACACTTGCCTTCCTCCAAGCATGCAAGAAATGCCACTGAGGTCGATTCGTCCCCAAAGGACTTTTAATTGGGTCTGCTGAAGAGCATAGCAAGTTCGGCAGAAAGGCAAAAAAGACGGGAAGCTGCATAAATTACTTTAAACAAAAGCAGCAAGGATAGCATCCCACAGGCGCTGGACACCAAGCACTTCCCTGCTGCTTTCCCGCTGTTCCAGCAGCCTGGGACTGAGCCAGCAGTCAGCCATTTGCCACAGGTACTCAGCCACAGGTCCCGGGGCACTGCCAGGCTGTGAAGGCATCCCATCTCTTTTGAGCTTGCTCAGAGGATGAGAGAATATGGGAGAACGCTCTGGGTGAGGTGAGCTCAGCTGCAAACTCAAGTCACTTGGGGGCTTTGATTGCCCCGACACCCCAACTAACTTCAAGAGGGATCTGCAGTAGATCAAGCTTGAACCATTTTTGAAAAGCCAGCTTGAGTCCATTAATCTCTTTAATTTTGAAGGATTTTATTTATTGGTTTATAAAAGCTTCTCTAAGCACAGAATAAAGGAGAAAGGGACATCTCCGTGGGTTTTGTAGCTAGGAGATCAAATACTCACAGGTGCCTTCCGCAGCTTCCACAGGAGCCAGCAGGAAGCTCCCTCAGCAGAGGAGCCGAAACTGGCCTGCAGCCAGGTAAGCACCCTGCTCTCACACTGAACATAGCCAGAGGCAGATTTCACCGTGGCTCGTTTCAAACACAGCCAATGTTAGAACAGATCCACAAATATGAACGCCAAATTCGTCTGGGGGGCAAGAGCACGAGGGAGGAGGCAAGATACAAGGGAGTCGGAAAGGTCAGGAAGGCAGACAGACAGATGAGCAAGCCAGTGGGCCAGAAAAAAATATCATAGGGGTTTAATTCTGCATCATTTTGACCCCCCCACTACAATACGCAGAGATGCACAAAGAGACAACTACAGGCATCTACAGAAAAGACCTTCCAGCACATCTTGTGGGAAGCCCAAAATACTGATTCGAGGGTAACACCAAATACCACGGACCGGAAGGAAGAGAAGCTGCTTCCGAAATCAGTGCTGGCTGCCAAAACTCACATCGCCTCTGTAACGCAACAGTGACGGGGCAGTTTTCAGCGGCTCCCCAAGAAGACTGGGAGCACAGCTGCTACTGGAAACTTTGCTGCCACTTCCACAAGCCCGTCTTCAGCAGCTCAAGAAAGCTGCAGTCGGCTGCTGCTGCAGGAGCACTGAACGCCGCTTTCACCCTCCTCTGAGACCCGGCCAGCACACGGAGCAGTGCAAGGCAGGCTGACAGCACCTGCCTGCAGCAAGGTAGGTAATGTGCTGCCTGTGTGTGAACTGAGGCAACCATCACCTGAAGGGTCTTTGCAAGAAACTGCTATGGCATTGAGACTGCTCAGAAAGAGTGGAGGGAAACATGGAAGTGCCCATCAGTGCCCTTCCCAGAAGATGACCTGCAACAAAGGCACAGGTAAGGACCTCTGCCAGGTACAGGCTCCCTCCCCTGACGGCATGCACAGTCTCTCAGCTTGCGTGCATAAGTTCTCTCTTTACCTAGCACTTACAGAATATACTTTTTTTTAAAAAAAAGTGCAAAGAAGCTACTTTAAACGCACAAAGCTGCTGGTAAAGTTTTTTGCTATGTTCAGTTCATTAAGTTAATGGCTGTACTTGTAATCTCAATGCAAACAAATCCCAATGGCAGACACAAAACATGAAAAATGTTTTCTTGTGTAGAGAAAAGTTCACAGTCATCAAGATCTCTGTGTATCAATGCAACTTCAAACAACAACACCAAATGCTGCTTTGTGTGCAAATGGCAGTTGTCAAAGCTGCACCAAACATGCTTTCTTTTCCATTGTAAAAACCCTTCCTCATCTCAGGATTTGTAATTAAATTCCAAGCCACAGAAGCACAATGATACTGAAAAAGCTCAAATAACTTTCTTATATTCATACTCCCACTAGTTGCTTTGACAGATCAGATGGAAAAGTAGTATTCAGCAGGGACTCTGAAACCTCTTGCATTTCCTTCCTTTTCTTCCACAACAAGTACAACCGCTGCTCCACAAGTTCAAGCAAGTTTTATATCTATACAAAAAACCATTAGCCACTCACACAAAGTAACTGAGGAGAAAGAAATATTTTAACATTAGCTGGGAATGGGGGGGAAAGAAGCTCTACAGAAGTCAGAAACCAAATACCAGTTTCTTTTAAATCATCATGTTTCAAAATTTCACATGGTTGATCCTAATTGTAGCTGTGCATAACCTCTCTTATCCAACAGTGCTTTATAGTTTTACACATGCAGCACTGATCAGTAGCTGCATCTGGGATGACCAGCTCCAAGGTAACCGGTATGAAATCTAGACTTTTGAGAAAACCATACAAATCTTTTAACTTTAAAAAGATCTCCTGCATCTGAGTAAAGCACATTATCCATTTCCCCCCTAAATCATTAAAAACAACATATCTTTTTTTTTAATGCACCTTAGTCAACTCATCTGTGCAAGCTGGAAGACACGAGCTGTGCAAATTACAAACAGATTTAAACCAGCTATTCCACATAATGCGCAGTCCCTCAAATTAGATGTGTGACTATCAAGCCCTACTGCCATCGCTTAGCACACAAGGATTCTGTTTTGATTCAAATACTTTATGAAATCATGAATTATTTGTGTTGCAGGTAATAAACTGATGTGCTTATATTATACATATAAGCACAGATTAGTTTAATGAAAGAAATGAAAATTGTGAGAGGTTTTAAACCTGTGTATACCTAATCACATGGTTTGGGATATAAAAGAGACGGCAAGCAAGTAAAAATGTGCAAGATATGAATCATAAATGATTATCAGTTGCTATTACGCAATAAACAGGCTAGAAATTGGTTTAAAACCTTCCACGCAGGACCTTTCGTCACTATCACTCACACTATGCTGATTAGAAAACAACTGCTTACTTGTTTTTAAAACACCTTGTACTGAAGAGTTTATTAGTATTGCTAGGAAGCCCTTTCTACCATGTATCCTTTCAAAAGAGAATGCTAGAAGTCATTAAGATATGTTTAACACACTTAACTGTACTGTATTTGGGCAGCATAGTTCCTCTTTGGTTAAAGGGATATACAGCCCTTCCAGAAAGGAAGGAAAGCTTAATACCTGGTACAGTGACCTGGTAAACCAAGTCAGCTGTCCACAGTATGGAGGGGACAAGTCATTTTGATGTCCATCTCTTACACAGTCTAAATTTTTACCTTGCCCAGCTAAGAATTTATCCATTAGGCAAGCAGGTTTAGTGGTATATTAGGTGTGGTTTGTTTTTTTTTTTTTTAATGCCCTCAAAGTTTTGTACAGCTTTACACATGCTTTACGGCCAGAAGGCACTGAAGGGATGAAATATCTTTTAAAAAATAAAAAATCAGTTATTTATTCAACTATCACTGATTACCTGGCCAAGCAGGTGAGTGCAAAATACAGCAGTCTCTTCTCAGACATAGCTCCTCTAAGCCAAGGGATTAAACAGAAATTAATTGCTCTTTCGTGCAATATTTGGGAGAGCAATTTCTCACACTCCTAAAGGACACCTAAATATCTAATCACTTCCTTCTTGCTAAAAACCAAAACAAATACCAGCCAAACTGAAAAAACTTGTTCTCTTTATTTTACGGGTGAAGAAGGACTATTGTTGTGTTTGTTACCTCCACTGAGCTAACAAAAAAGTTTGTCAGACTGGAAGGAACGCCAGTATTGCCCACCAGTTAGTTTAGCACATCTTAGGATTTTCAGGCACATGTATTTTTACAGCATTTACGCAACGCATCCTTTCTGTCTCTAAAGAAGGAAATAGGAAAGCTTGGGTGAAGTCTAACTGTTAAACGATAAATTTCCATTACAGAACCACAGTTACCTTTTTTGTCTCCCCCTTTTGCAACAGGAACATTACAGGCAACCGTTCACCCATCACATTCTCAAATATGCAAACATTTTCCTCCCCCCCCCCCCGCTCCGATGTCTCATCTTGCCCTTCAGAAATAAGGGAGCTGCTGATCCCATGCCAGAGCTGAAGCTGTAAAACACCCATGTAGCTGAAGAGTTCCCAATTTATTTACATGCCCGTCCAGCCGTCTCGCTGGCC